TCCTACAGGTTTTTCTATATTGCCATTCAATTGTTGAAGTGATTGGGGATGAGGTATGGAGAGTTTCACCCTTCCCCTAGGCTCTTGGTATTTATTATGATGTTTCTGTAACATTAGATGCTCCAGCTGAGATGAGAAACTTTACAAACACAAAATAAAGACCGTCCCAGACCTTGAAGACTGCAGTCTAAAGGGACAAGACAAAGAGAGGGTTCAAAGGAAAATAGAGGCACAAAAGTGACTTGTCTAAGGTCACATAATAGATCAATGGATAGAAATGAGGCCTCTTGCCACTTGGGCTAATGCCCTATCTACTGCCTAACTTGAAAATACTTTAATGCTGGCCCTGGACTGTAAAGAGTTATGGACAGGGCCGGATTAAGGGGTGAGGCTAGCTGGGCAGCAGCCCAGGGCGCCAACCTATGGGGGATGCCTGATTGAAGTGGTAAGGTGCGCTGCACACCCAGGGGCGGGGCCACACATACGCCACGCGCACAGGCACGCTGCACCCCTTACCACTTCAATCAGGCACCCCTCATAGGTTGGTGCCCGGGGGCGGGGCACGGCGCCCCTTATCATGTCAATCAGGCGCCACGCGCCCGCTGTCCAGGGCGCAAGTATGGCTCGGTCCGGTACTGGTTATGGATAATATTGCCTCATGGTTTTACCATGGACATTCAATAGAATCATGGAATTATAGAATAGTAGAACTGGAAGGGACCTTGAGGGGTCATTAAGTCCAGTCCCCTGCCCTTGTGGCAGGACCAACCACCATCAATAGAGTGATGATCTCCAAGCAGAGAATCTCTTCTTTCTGGCCCTCTATAGCAGAAAAACAAAAAATTAACTGGCTTCAGGGCAGAAGTGTTTAAGAAGAAACCTTCCTTTTGGTAAAGCTTGCTGATCTGATGACCCCAAGGCATATTGATAATTCATATCGGTTTGGTAGAATTGTTTCAGTGAAAACCAAAAGAAAAAAAAAGGAAGGAATCCATTCAAACATTTGATTTTTTTTTGTTTGAAACAACTTTTCATTTCAATTTTTCCTTTAATTTTATTTCTAAAAAATGTCTATAACGTTTTAAAAGACTATGCAGTTGAAATGGAAGCAAAACTATTTGCCTTTGTCAACATGAAACAAACAGTTTGGGGATCTTTTTTCCCCCAACCTTTCAATTTTGGAAAAATTAGAAAAATAAAATGGAATTTGGTTCCACTGCACAAGAAGCAGTTAGTGGGCCTCAGTTGAACATTTAAACACTTGACAGGGCTAACATGATTCGACATGATGGGCAGTCTCTCCACAGAAGACCCAGGAGTGTACTTAAAAGTGAAAGGATAGCCCTCATTATATCCCTAGACTGGGAGAGTTTAGTTCAATTCCTTGCTCTGACACAGACTTCTGAGGCGATCTTGGGCAAATCCCTTAGCCTCTCTGTAAAATGGTGGTAACAGTACTTCCTCTCCTCACTGAGATTGTGAGGATAAACTAAGACTATGAGGTGCTTACACACTATGATATCGGGGACCATCCACGTCCCTTGGGTACACAGGAACGGCAGACCAGAACAGATGTGTTTTGGCAACTGGTATAAGATCGCAGGTCATTCTAAGGACCCCAAACTAGCACAGATAAGACTGACTTGGCAGACGGTGAGGGTTGTTTCTCACTAAGCCATCATTCACATCCAGGACGCTAATAACTGCTCAGTCTGTGGCCAGAGACTGTCTTGCCCTCTGTTAATTTAGCCTCGTGTCTCTCTGGTCTGTTCCTGAAGGCAGTGTGGTCCAGAAAGGCAAGGTTGAGAGTTAGAAGACCCTCTATCATGGGCTTCAGCATCCTGGAGATGAGAAGCCTCCTCCTCCAGCAGCAATCTCTTGCTTCTACAGAAAAGGACCTGGGGATTACGGTGGATGGGAAGCTGGAGATGAGTCAACAGTGCGCCCTTGTAGCCAAGAAGGCAACTGGCATCTTGGGGTGCATTAGGAAGAGCATTGCTAGCAGATCTAAAGAAGGGATTATTCCCCCTTATTTGGCACTGGTGAGGCCACATCTGAAGTATTGCGTCCAATTCTGGGCCTCCACTACAGAAAGGATGTGGATGTATTGGAGAGGGTCCAGTGGAGGGCAACCAAAATGATTAGGGGGCTGTAACACGTGATCTACAAGTAGAGGCTGAGGGATCTGGACTTTAGTCTGCAGAAGAGTGAGGGGGGATTTGAGAGCAGCCTTCAACTACCTGAAGGGAGGTTCCAAAGAGGATGTTCTCAGTATTGACAGATGGCAGAATGTGGAGCAATGGTCTCAAGTCACAGCGGGGGAGGTCTAGTTAGGATATTAAGAAAAACTATTTCCCTAGGAGGGTGGGGAAGCACTGGAATGGGTTACTTAGGGAGGTAGTGGAATCTCCATCCCTAGATGTTTTTATGTCCTGGCTTGACAAGGCCCTGGCTGGGATGATTTCGTTGGGATTGGTCCTGCTTCCGGCAGGCGGTTGAATTAGATGATTCCTGAGGTCTCTTCCAACCCCAGGATTCTATAAAACCCTCAGCTATCCTTCCCAGTATCAATGGCCACACGATTCCTGCTTTCCAAAGAAAGCGCTGCAGCCAGCAGACACCATCTTGCACTCGAGGCGTTCATCCCCCGTTAGCTGGGCAGCAATCATTTGGCACGTCAGCCATGCCCGGGTGGTCTGTGTGGTCAGACAGGAGGCATTCCAGGAACTGGCAGGCAGCGGCTGAGGAGGAATTAGGAAAAGGTCCCTGATACCATCTCTCCCCTACACAGTCTCCGGCTTTTTTTCTCCTTAAGGAGGAAATTATCTTGTATTCACAGCCCTTCAAGAGCCTGGCGTTCCTGGAAATCAGCCGTGATTAAGGGTTTCCACCATTGGGCAGTTGCTATTCTCCATTCTCAAGGTGAGAGCAGGGGGATGTGAACCCTCTGGAGGGAAGGAAAGTTAGCAAGCGTTAGCTGACAAAGTGAGAAGATTCTCCCCTGTTTTTTACATCAGTGCTCCAGTCACTCTTCCGCTGGCTGGAGAAGGGATATGCTTTCTCTCCAGATAAAGTGAGGAAATGGCTGCATTTTTCCCTGAAATGATGCACTTTAAGAACTGGGGGGTCACTAAAGGAAATGAATAGGTAGCAAGTTTAAAACAAACAAAAGGAAGGTTGTTTTTTTTCATGCAGCGCATAGTCAACCTGTGGAACTCCTTGCCAGAGGAGGTTGTGTAGGCCAGGACTTTAACAGGGTTAAAAAAAAAAACTAGATACATTCATAGAGGTTAGGTCCATTGATACTTATTAGCCAGGATGGGTAGAAAAGGTGTCCCTAGTCTCTGTCAGGGCTTGAAATGGATGACAGGGGAGGGATCACTTGATGATTCCCTTTTCTATTCACTCCCTCTGGGGCATCTGGCATTGGCCACTGTCAGAAGACAGGATACTGGGCTAGATGGACCTTTGGTCTGACCCAGTATGGCCGTTCTGATGTTCTTAAGGCACTGGTTCCATAAATAACAAAAGAGAAAGGAAATTTTGTTTCTCTACTCACCTTATGGTCTGAGGTTCTCTGCAATATGCTCTTTTAGTGCTGAGATTCAGAGGGTGCCTGAAAAGTGCTTTTGGGCTTGGGAGTTGGAGCAATTAGAAGAGCAGAGCTAGAGGGGCAGAAAAACTTTGAAAAAGCTCCTATAACACTCCAGGGTTTGTGAGGCAGAGAGTGGAGCACACAAGGTAGAGAGGAAAGCAGGCAGCTCCTACAGTAGTAATAACTAGCGCTCATGTGCCTGGTGTCACCAGTAGGCCTTGAATGTGCTTCATCAAGAAGTGCAGTATCATTCATTCCTCTCTTTTACAGATGGGGAAACTGAGGCACAGGGGGGAAGTGTCTTCCCCAAGACTGAGGGGTTGAGCCAGGTGGAGAACCCAGGTCTCCTATATCACAGGGTGGGCCACAGCTAAAGAGCAGAGCAGAGGAAGAAGGCAGGGGAAACTGGTAATGAGGTCCGGTAAGAAGCAGAGCAGAAGGAAGATGGAAGGTGAACTCATAGGCCTTGTCTACACTGGCACATTTTGTTGCCAAAATCTGCCTTTTTGTGACAAAACAGTGAATGTGTTTACACTACAATGCGACTTTTGTCCAGAAAAACATGCAGTTTCGGCCACAAAATTTGCACTCTTGGGAGAGACTTTTGTCTTTTCCCCTCCCTGTATTATTGACAAAGAGTCAATGTGGACTCTGCTGTTTGTTTTGTTGACAGAACCGGCATCCAGCTGTATCCCACAATGCCGGCCCTGATGGCTGTGCTCAGTGTTTTGTGATCTCTGCTGCCCTGCAGCCATGTGCCTCCCCCTCCCCTCCCCTTTCAAAGCTCTGGGAATTATCTGACAGCTGAGTGAGCTGCTCCATTTGAGGAACAAACAAAGACCAAATCACTTTACAGATGGGGAAACTGAGGCACAGGGGGGAAGTGTCTTCCCCAAGACTGAGGGGTTGAGCCAGGTGGAGAACCCAGGTCTCCTATATCCTGTTGCAGGGAGAGGGCTGGAGAGACGGTTGCGCTGCTTTGATGTTCCTCAGCATGGAGACCTCCTAGCCTCCTAGAGCTACAAGGGAATCCCAAGAAGCTCAGGGATCAGCGCTGCCTTCTCATAACACTGCCCTGTGGGATGCTCACCCACAATGCTTTGCTCTATGTGTCAATAGGGAGCTAGCAACGTGACCATGAAATGTCAACTGTGGGAGGCAGAAAAAATTGGTTTGACCGGTTTTCACGTTTGACTTTTGCACGTCAGCAGAACGTTTCTCACCTCCAAACCTTCCCAACGCAGCCGAAGCCTTGTCATGCTGCCGTGCCACCCTAACGGTGTAAAGCAGAACAGCACAGGAAGGGGGGAGGGGACCTTTTTCCCCTCAACCCAGATTCGTTCTCGACAGCCCTGTATTTCATGACCCAAGAAAAGCCTTGTTTCTCTTTCTCGTTTTCTGTCAGGAGCGAGGCAGAGGCCGAGAAGTCGTGGGGTTCCATAACAGGCCACCCTTTATATTGGCAGAGGATTATCTGGGCCGGTCGGTGGTAAACGGGAGTCGGGGGATCAAACCTCTACCAAATTCTGGTGCTTGGTTATTTCCATCGTCATTAAAGCAGAGGAAGAAAAGCATCCCAGGCAGGACCGTGCTGACTACGCCTCTCCCAGCCAAGGGCACACAGGCCGGACCCATTTCCCAGCTCACCTCGCTCTGGACGGGGCCGAGGGTGGGAAGAGACCCCTGCTCACCCCTTCAGCGGCCTCCCGCTGGACTCATGGTCGCCTGCAGGCGGGAAGGCCGCCAGTTGGCTTAATCGCAGAGCTGGCTGGGAAGTCAAGTTAAGCTGTTCTCAGCTGGAAGGGGCTTCACCAGCCAACATGCTGCGCCACGGGACGGCTCCAGAAATCGCAAGAGGCAGAGCAGATGGCCTATAAACCACGGAAGGCGTGACACAGGGCTGCTCGCAACAATTCTCTGTAGGTCGTGGGCGCCTTGTTTGCCGTGTGCTGTTTCATTTAAAACATGAACAACCCCCCTCCCTTTCTTCCCCCCTCTCCCCGCCGCCACCACCAGCCCTCCAAGTCCTTTCCCTCGTCTGCAGGGAAGACTGCCCAGACTGGCTCTGAAAGCTGGACCCAAATCAGGGTGCTGGGCAGACTTGCCAACTGGCAGGCTTACCCTGTGTTTGGGAGGCGAGGACCAAACTGTGCTTTGATACGTCCGCGCCAGTCGGGAGTCGCAGTACGGCCTTCCCTCACCTCCCCGTTTGTAATAGGATCTGGCCCTTGGTTTTGCCCTTCAGCGTCTTGTCCCGGCTTAGCAAGTGGGGAGGGAGAGCAAGGTAGCAGGACAGAAGGGAGGTGCATGAGAGGAATCCTTGTCTTCAGCGCTGTACGGTCAAGTTGTCGACCTTTTTAGGTCACCTCCAGGGGAAAGAGGACACAACTCAGTGTAGAACTGATTCTGCAGGGCAGGCAGGCGCTGGTCGTTAAAGAGTTAACACTTGTTGTGTGTTACCTTCCCCCCCCTTCCCCTTCACGTCAAGATAATAAAAAACCATTTTTTTCAACTCATTGACCAGTCCCCCCACCCCTTGTTGTGTGTTCCCCCCCCCCCCCCTTCCCCTTCACGTCAAGATAATAAAAAACCATTTTTTCAACTCATTGACCAGTCCCCCCACCCCTGAAACAAAAATTAAAGCATTTTTACCACTGTTTGCTTTTCCAGTTTCTTTAATTTGGGTAATTGCTTAGTCAACTTTCGAAAATATATATTCTGCCTTAAAAAAACAGCAGAAAATGACAGATCACCTTCCTTTTCATTTCAGATTTGGCATGCAGGTCCCGGATTGTGTATTTTTTCCATGGCGCCACACCAGCGTCCCATACTTAATTAATTTCCCTTCGCTTGGGCAGCTTTGCACTTAAAGAGACAGTGTCCCGTTTTCAGGGTTGGGCTTTGGCTCACTTTCAAGAGTGTCACTTCTTAAATCTTTTTTTTTTCAAGACCTTCCCAGAGTGCTACATGGCAGAGAGCTGGCATTTAACATCCCTCCCACGACTCCCCCTCCTCACTCTTCCTGTCGCTCAAGATCCTCACCAATCTGCATGCACGCACAAGGCAAGAGATCCCATTTCACACGGGCCGTGGAGAGGGCAGGATGGTTTGGGAATGATTCTGTAAATTGGTCGCAATCACGGTGAGCTATCATAGCAAATTAGGTTTTGGCTTTGGTCAAAATCTGCTCTTTCCTACACCAGCACAGCTCGATTCGTCCTCTGGATCATTACCTGTATCAACAGGAATGAAAGCAAAGCGCATGGATCAAATTACTGCTCTGCTGTAGGGAAGTGTGAACCTGAATCCAAACTTTATGCCTTGCCCATCTCTTTAGAAGGCAGCGATGGGCAACCTGGGCTAAAGAGCGGGTCGCATGAGTGGCCCTTCTGCATCTCAGCAGCCACAAGATTGTCGTAATCAAGACAGTCTTCTAGGAGAGGGCAGTTTTGATCACTGCACTTGCATACCTAGAATTTGCAGGGAACACTGACTGATCTGTAACAGCGCTGAGAGATTGGATGCAGAGGGAGCACCCGGCTCTCACAATGCTGTGTGCAATCCGGGGTCCTTGCTTGAAATGAGTGGCACTTCTGCAATACCAGTAAGAAAAGAAAAAAAACGACGTGGACGAAAACCAGCAGAATCTAGCAACCCTAAGGCTACATCTACACTGCAGGCTTCTTGTGCAAGAACTGTTTTGCGCAAGAGTTCTTGTGCAAAAGGTCTTCCACAAGAGCGTGTCCACACGGCCATGTGCTTTTCGCAAGAGCGGCCATAGCAGTGCGGATGCTCTTTTGCGCAAGAAAGCTCTGATGGCCATTTTAGCCATAGAGGTTCCTTGCGCAAGAAAATCATGTTGCCTGTCTACACTGCCTTCTTGTGGAAGAGCTCTTGCGCAAGAGGGCTTATTCCTTGTGGGGAGAAGAATAACTGTTCCGGAAGAAGCCCTGTTTTCTGATGCTGTATTGTAAATTTACTTGCGCAAGAACACGCATGCAGTGTAGAGTCCCGGCAAGTTTTTGTGCAAAAATAGCTGTTCTTGCGCAGAAAGCCTGCAAAGTAGACGTAGCTATTGGTGAACAAACTGTCTTGAGGGCCACATTTAGAAGCCAAATGGGCTGCCCGAGGCGTAACGGTAGTTCGGAATAGGAAGCCTAATCCGAGGTCTACAGGTTGCCTACCACTGCTTTGTGGGGTTCAATCCGCTCCCCTTTGGACTATTGCATCCCAATCCTCTGGGGTCTGAATTAGGATGCAAACTTGCTAGCTTTAGGCCTATCCATTTACTCATTCAGTCTAATAGATTTTATCAATTATCTTGGAACCGACATAAGCCACTTCCTACTCCTTTCCTCCATTTCACCTCTCACAAGTGGAAGGAGGGAGACTTGGTTTAACTGGGTGTCTTTTCGGAGAATTCTGTGAGTGAATTGCGTGCTTATGAATCCACAAGAAGGACACCTTACGCAGTGCATGTTTTCTCACATAGCATCTTTGGCAGTGTGGCGACATATTTGGGTGTGTCTACACTGCACCGTTATTCCAGAATAATGGCCGTTATTCCGGAAAAGCAATATTCGCATCCACCCAGCAATTGCGTTATTTTGAAAGAAAATCTAAATAACGGTGGGCTTTTTCCGATGTGGGTAAACGTCCTTCTACAAGGAATAACACCTCTTCTGAAAAGGCTCTTTTGGAAGAGGGTGTATGTGGACGCTCCACTGCTGCTATGTCAAAATACCAGGGCCATTCTAAGTTATTCCTCTCCAGTGCCTCCTGGGGCTCTTAATCGAGATAGCACGTCCACAGCAGGGAAGCCTGCCTCAGACTAATTTTGAGGTTTCCCTGTAGTGTGGATGCTCTATTTCAAAATAAGGTATTCCGGAAGATATCTTCCAGAATAGCTTTTTCCGAAATAAGCTCGCGGTGTAGACGTACCCTTTGACTCTTGCTCCTCTGCGGGTACGTCTCCACAGCAGTGTTATTTCAGAATAACTGATGTTATTCCGAAATAACACAGTCCACATCTACACTCAAGCAGTTATTTTGACATAAAGTCGTAATAATGTCCAGCCAGAGGACTTCTTACTCCGACTCCTGTAACCCTCATTTCACGAGGAGTAGAGGAAGTCGAAGGAAGAGCGCACTTTCTCAGACTTCCTGCTGTGTAGACGGCACCAAAAGCAGAAATAAGCTATTTTGACTTAAGCTACACAACTGATGAGGCTCAAGTGGCTGTGTAGATGCACCCACTGTGTCTGGCTCCCTCCCCACATAATTACCTCTAGTGCATTTCTGCTTCGAATGGAAATACCTCCTGCCCAATTCGATAGTAGGCTTGCACAATGTTCTTGCAAGACAACTCAGCACTGGCTTGCTTCGGCCTCTCTTGGACAAAGATAGCCAATTGTGCTGGAGTATGGAGACGACTGTGTTGGGTCAGAAAAGAGGGCCACCCTATTCCCACACAAAAGGGTAAATCACTCTAGAGGCGATAGATCAATGCACTAACTCGCCATATCTCTCACTGTTAGACAAGAGTGTTTTGCGCTGTGCCAATGAACTTCCCACTCCTGAATTTTGTCAGTGAGCCCCTGATAAATTACATTTGTGTTCTGTCTGTCCCAAATGTTTTTATCCTAATAGCTGTGCCAGCTGATGGTAAATTCCTGTGATTTTAAAAGCAGAAGGGAGGATTGACTGTCACACAAATCATTTTGAACCTAGACCTACTGTACCCTGGGGAAGTGGCCAGCGTTGGAATGTGGAACATTATGCTATTCAATATGGATGATGTTTGGTATTGCAGCATGCAAATGTCATAGACCAGGTGGTTCAATACGTCAGTGCAGTCCAGGAATATTTGCACTGTCCCCACCTATAGGCATCAAGAACTTCGTTGTTGGATGGTCTCATATCACGATAAAGGTGATTTGCAAAGGAGAAAAAGAAATGTCTTTGCCTCATTCATTCTATCACCATACAAACCAGTGCTATGCCCGTTCCTCTCTCATGTGGTCCAAAGCCCACTCAGGTCAAAGCTTCTGTTCACCTCAAGAAGTTTTGGCTTGGATTCTGGAGGACAACTTCACTGCGTACTAAACGATTCTAGCTGCTGTAGCCAATCCCCTTGACAGAAAATCTTTCCATTGTTCCTTTGGTGGTTTCTCTCATTTTCAGCCAAAGCACCACAGCCAGAAGCCAGGAAGCCCAGCTCGCAGGAAATAAGAAAGATTTCGAATCCTCCCCCAAGCCAATAAACAACACTGAACCAAACCTTTTATTTTTACACATTGGCAAATGGTCACCCAAGTATTTTTCATTTTCTCACATCTCTGCCTGATCCTGGATCTGGCTGGACTTGAGTCGGGGTAATCTCCCGAGAACACCTGAGGAAAGAACATGAAGTGAGTTCTAGTTAGAGCCGGATGAGCAGCTGAAGAGTAATTGTCTGAACTAAATTCCTACTGTCTCCATGACTATTACACTCGGGGTAAATCTAGACCACTGAGCGGCTGCTTGGGAGCTAATGATTTGTACTAGCACACAGTGGTTTTCAAAGTTGGGTCGTGGGCCAGCCCGGGTAAGCCACTGGTGGGTCTGTGATGCTTTGCTTCTCTAAGTATTCATAGCCACTGTAGAACCATCACAGACACACACACTTTATTCATAATTTGTGTTCGTTGATGCCATATAGTGGCAGGCCTCTGAGAATGTTAATAAAATTATAGCATTCCATGCCCTAATAAATCTCCATATTGAACATAAGAACGGCCAGACTGGGTCAGATCAAAGATCCATCCAGCCCAGTATCCTGTCTGCCGACAGTGGCCAATACCAGGTGCTCCAAGGGAATGAACAAAATAGGGAATCATCAAGTGATCCTTGTCACCCATTTCCAGCCCCTGACAAACAGAGGCTAGGGACGCTGTTCCTGCCCATCCTGGCTAACAGTTATTGATGGACCTAACCTCC